TTTACAACACGAATACGTTGTTTTATTTCAACTTAAGCTGCATTTTCAGTTTTCAGCTGTGGTAACATCTGTCCAGGTTTAAGACGGGTATGGTGAAGTGCTCAAGTGCAGTACGATGTACCTGAGATTCAAACTTGTGAGGAAAGAGAAAGGAAATGAGATACCAATATTTATGACAAATAAACAAATGTGTAGAGAAGAAAAGCAAGTGAAGAGGAAAAAAAATGTAAATAAAAAATAGAATAAACGTAAAAATATATAAATTGGAATGGAATAGAAGGGGGATATGGATTTTAGAGTTCCCTTACTGCATTAATAAAAAACTTATTACAGAACTCCACCTCTATAAATTTCGGTCCTTGCAACCTTGATGCATATGTGATTTGTTCCATCTCATACAGTTCCCATATTTTTGTTAATCCAGATGTTGTACGTTGGAGCTTCAAGATTCAACCATCTTATTGTGATACATTTAATCGCAACCCTCAAGAGGGTTTGTAACAGATACAGTTTTCCCCTTCCCTCAAACCCTTCAGGGAACGCTCCGAGGAGAATCACCCTTGGATCTTTGGGGATATTTTAAAGGAACACGGCTCTCAGGGCATCTAACACATCCATCCTCCTGCCCCAAGTTAACTTCAGATAAATATGAATGTGTTTTCCAGTTTGTGGGCCACATTTTCTCCAACAAGAGGTAACTTTTGAAACAAGAAATGACCAATCTTCATCTTACTTAAAGATAAACTTTTACGCAATTAAACCCACACTGCTCCATTAAGTGTACTCAGAGGTTTTGCAGTTGGCGCTTTACTCTGTCTGGTGTGACCTTTAGCCTATAATAGCTATCGTTTGCGAACTTCAGATAGATATTGTTTTGCAACTGACTTTATTGAGTCAGTTTGCTGACTTTATGACTCTTCTTGTGCTTGCTTCTTGTACAATAAATTTTATCATTAAGCATAAGCCCATAATTGCCCATTTTTTCCACTGTTCAGCAGCAACCTCGTAAAAAAGATTTTTAAGCTTCATCCTGGTTAATTAAACCACTTCTGTTTTGTAGATTCTGGTGTGGAAGGAGCTGGACTATGGCACCATGGCAGAGAGTGAAAAGCAGATGCTGGTGTCAGAGGTGAATCTCCTGAGAGAGCTTAAGCACCCGAACATAGTGCGGTACTACGACCGCATCATAGACCGCACTAACACCACGCTGTATATTGTCATGGAGTACTGCGAGGGTGGGGACCTGTCCAGCCTCATCACACGATGCATCAAGGAAAGGTAGGTTGTGTGTTTAGGGCATTGTAAAGTCGTGACCCTCCACTCTACATCTGTACTTCCTGTGTGTGTGTTTTATCATGGCAGGCGTTATTTGGAGGAGCAGTTTGTCCTGCGAGTCATGGCGCAGCTCATGTTAGCACTGAAGGAGTGCCACAGACGCAGTGATGGCAGGGCCACGGTTCTCCATCGAGACCTGAAGCCAGCCAACATCTTCCTCGACATCAAACAGAATGTGAAGCTTGGAGACTTCGGCCTTGCAAGGATCTTGAACCATGACACCAGTTTTGCAAAGACATTTGTTGGGACACCTTACTACATGTCTCCAGTGAGTTGTTCAATCCTGCTGTGTCTTAGGATTTTCTTCTCTTGACCCTCCTAATTATAGCCTAATTATCTGCCAATGTTTTTTTTTCTTTCAGGAGCAAATAGACCGGATGTCATACAACGAGAAATCAGATATTTGGTCCCTGGGGTGTTTGCTCTATGAACTCTGTGCATTGTCGTAAGTTTACTAACTTTTCTGCAGGAGCTGATTTTCTAGCAGGAGGTTTGTTGATTGTGAGTCTGACCTTTTCCCTGGATTTATCTGTTTAGCCCTCCGTTTACTGCTTACAACCAAAAAGAACTGGCAGAGAGGATCAGAGAGGGGAAGTTCAGAAGAATTCCGTACCGATACTCTGAGGAACTGAACACCTTACTCTGCAAAATGCTCAACCTGAAGGTTAGAAATAAATTATTTTGTCATAAACTTTACTTGTTCTACCAGCTGGTCGGTTTGCATGTACGTGAGGTTCAATAATCCGTCTTGCTCTGTTGTCAGGACTATCTTAGACCCTCTGTGGAGGCTATTCTCCAGAGCAGCCTGTTGGCAGACGCTGTTGCTGAGGAGCAGAGGAGGGCACAGGTGCGACTCAGGAGGAGGTCGACGGAATCTGACGGTCCTGCTCACAAGCCAGCTGAACTGACACCCACCTCTGCCACAGAGCTCCGACTCCGAGAACAGGCGCTGCGGGACAGAGAAAATGCGCTGAAGGAACGCGAGGAGAGGCTGGAGAGTAAGACTTTGATTTCTTCTGTCCTTTGTGCCACAGAGACCCATGTATGTGTGACAGTGTGGCACCAAGTGGCAACCTGATGGGCTGACAAATTAAGTCAGAGCTGAAGTGCCAAAAAATGGTCCATTTTACACTCCTTGATTAAAGCGGGAATATTGTTCTGTTTTCCACTTTGTTGTTATGTGTAAACGGTACGTTAAGCCCACAGAAGAGGTAGTAACGGTGTCAAATTGACGTCTGTGTAAAAGGGAAAGCTGGCAGGACTGGACAGGTGTGACGTTTTGATGACTTGTTTTGTGTGCAGCCTACTGTCAGGAGATTTAAAAAGCAGTTAGCAGCTAATTTTAAGAGGAAGAACAACTAGAAATGTCGGCAAATTGGGGAGACAATGAGGTCTGCAAGTTCCTTACCCTCCGAACAGAGAACGAGATGAGCCGCCATGTGACAGGGACCGTAAATGATTGTTATTGCCTTGTTATTATTATTATGCCATTGATATTGTTTAGAACGCGCTGCCTGTTTCAAAGTCAAGCAAGTACTACATATTCCAAAAACAAAGGTGTCTTGTTTTGTCCTTTCATTGCAGAGAGGGAGCAGGAGCTTTGTGTTCGTGAGCGACTGTCAAATGAGAAGCTTGCAAGGTAAAACTTTTTTAACACGGCTACAAATGAAACAATCAACATTGTCATTTCTCCTCACTGTCTGATACTTCACTGTCAATCTTACCCACTGACTGATTCAAACTCTTTATCCTGATCTACTGTTACAGAGCAGAGAGTTTACTGAAGAACTACAGCCGTCAGCAGAGGGACCTGGCACTGTGCTATGGCAAGGACATAGGTATGGGGATTGGACGAAGACCTCTGGACTTACTGAACCGTGACGAGACCTGAGAGTGTTTTTATGGGTTTATGCTTCTGTTTGGGATGTGGATGACTAATATGTTTATTTATTACTTTTTATAACCTGTAAATAGTGTTTTTATGCACCAATAAAGAATTATTACACACATGACAATTTGAAATCTTGCTGTCATGTTGGATTGCAGAGAGTGTTACAAGTCAATCTTTGTTAATCAGTGACTCCTTGCTGTTTGGTCCTAGACGGAGAGAACATCTCCCCCGGCAAGAAGAAGGTCCACTTTGCTGGCGAGAGCAAAGAGAACCAGCGGCCCGGCGGTCGTCAGAGTGTGATGTCTCAGGAGCTGATTTTGAGGAGGCTGCAGGCGGCCAATCTGCGCGCTCAGACACTGAATGAAGTGGAGAAGACCTGTCAGTTCAAGAGCAGGCAGATACTTGGCATCCGCTGATCACAGATATCACCGACGTGTGACTGATATGTGTCATGATGACTGGATGTAAATTAAGATTAATTTATATGATACTTTAGAAGCTGTGAAGGTAGTGAAGCCAAATGATTGAATCCTGTGTATTGTGTGTGCTATTGCAAGGTTTGTGGTGTGGATTTTATGTAGTTTGACAATTTCATGTGTGAATGTGTTCATTTTATTTGCAGCTATTTTGATTGTACTGTACATTTGTGATAAGTATATGTACATTTTCTGTTACAAACTCCTTAGATACGGATATAAAAGGGCAGCTTGTTTAATGACTTATCTACAAGAAAATGTAAAAACGTGTGGTTTAGACAAGACATTTGAACTATGCAGAATGAATGATTCAAATCATTAATTGTAGTTATAAATAAGATACAGTAACATTATTCATGCTGAAAGTCATTGTCAACACCATAGATTCTCACTATGCATAGTAAAATACGTATGTGCCTTTTATACAGGTATAGCAAAATAAATTATACATACATACTATATAACTGTGTCGAATCAGTTACTCAAAGCTAATTTGTTCAATGACACACTTCAGAGTGCTTCATCAAGACAGATAACTCCCACAAGGGGTCATCAGTTTCCCATGAAAAGTCAGCCACTGATTGAAGAGACTGCAAGCGATCAAGCGCTACGAAGCATCAAGGCTTCGCACCTGAGAGTCGTTTGTTCTTGATTAGCAGCAGATAAAAGGGTATAATCAAAAAACACATTAGCATTATATCATAGTTTTGTAAATTAACAAGCCTCCAGGTTATGGATTAAATAAAAAAGGTAAGAAAAATAATTGTAAGTCTAATTTTATATGAAGATATAACCACATCTGGTTTTATTTCATTCAAAAAAAAAAAAAAAAGAATATTAAATGTTTTAAGCACATGTACACAACAACAATAAAATTGTAAATATTTTATTTAAGGCAGACTTGAGGCAAAACCCACATACAAACCTATGTTTCACACATTTAAATCAGGCTATACTAGGACACTTAAAAACGTTTTTATTGCATCATCGTCAGTGGTGATAAACATTTTAAATTAATCAATAACAAACAGTGAATGCGGTTGTTAATGGGGCTCCATTAACAAGCGTATCTGAGATCTTAGATGTTTTCTAGCTGACCGATACCCATAGATTTACAGATATATTAATGTAGTCATCGCGAGATTACAGCTGCGGTAAGCGTACGTAGCAACCGCTGTTGTCCACCTACTTGCAAAGAGCAGCAAAATTTCGACCAATTAGATTCAATCATGTGCCCTTTCCACCAATGGGGTTCGTCCTGGGCGTGTCCTCACGATGCCGTGTTCCGTGTGGAAAGTTTACCGGCTCGGGTGCAAAGTTTCAGCCGTCTGCAAACGAGAGCTCGTCGGCAAAGGTTTCTGGAATATGCTGGTGTCGATGACGGTCTGTTCACACGGCTGTTAAAGATCGTCAGACGGATTCATTTTGTCTTTGGTGGTTTTCAGAAGTAGCCGAGTGATGCTGCCGTCGCTGGATAACAGCAGCGTGTGAAGACTCTGTTAGCATCGATCGTATTGTCTCAGGGAGCTCGCTAGCTTAACGTAAGTCGTTAGCTCGGAGCTGTTACACACCGTAGAGCTAGCTAGCTGGTGTCCTAGTGAGCTCGTGAGAAGACACGGGAAAACGTTATTAAACGTTAACTCGAAACTTGACTCAACGAAGGACCGTGAGGAAAGGAAAATGACTTGCGAGCCTAACCGTGCCCGGTTGCTATGCATGCTCTCATTGACTTTTGGGTTTTTCATTGTGGAGGTGGTGGTCAGCCGAATGACTTCATCTCTATCTATGCTGTCGGACTCCTTTCATATGCTGTCGGATGTCATAGCGCTGGTCGTTGCTTTGGTCGCGGTGCGTTTCGCCGAGAAAACCCACTCCACCAACAAGAACACCTTCGGGTGGATCCGGGCGGAAGTGATGGGGGCTCTGGTCAACGCCGTCTTCCTCACGGCGCTGTGCTTCACCATCGTCCTGGAGGCTATCGAGCGGTTCACTGAGCCCCATGAGATCGAGAGTCCACTGGTGGTCGCAGGGGTCGGCGCCGCGGGGCTCCTGGTCAACCTGCTCGGGCTCTGCTTGTTCCACGGGCACGCCGGCGGAGGCCACGGACACTCCCATGGAGGTCACTCTCATGGAAATAAGCACAAGAAGGGTAAAGCCGGCAAGTGCCAGAAGGCTGGGAATGGGTCCTCAGGGGAGGAGACCAACAACTTAGTGGGAAATCACAACAGCCCTGGTGATGCAAGACCTAGAAATGGTAAGTAGGGACAGTATTCAGTAGTGTTTGTGCTTGAAAGTATTGACTCTAACCTGAATTTTCTTCTGTGTCAAAGTGTGTAATTTAAATTTAAAATATACAGTGCTTGTCATTATTAAGTGCCCCAAACCCTGAGTCCAGCCCCATTGTGCCCCACATTGAAGCTGACAGCATGTACCAGACTTTGTACCCATTGTTACCAGTCCAGATTGCGTAACAGTACATGCGTATATCTCCAGTATACCCCGAGGACACCCAGTGTGAGAAACTAATCCTTATTGTTTCGTCTCTGACAGTGACATTTAGACAGATGTGTCTGTAATCAGATATGCATTGGTTTGTTATTCTATCCTTAGAAACGTGGCCACCCTCAGTGACATAAACGGGGAAAAGGTCGGGTTTCAAGCTTTGTAATACTCCCTACTATCAGATGGCTTCTAAATTAAGATATCCAGAAACTTCTCACAGACTCAGCCAATAAGTTCCCGTTTTTGACAAGTTCAAACTTGTAAGTGTGTCTTGTGCCTTACTCTTTACTTGCACTTTATCAGACCTGGACCTGCAAGCATTACCAAAAACAACTCATCATTTTGTCTGTAAGCTGTTGTCAGTTGAGTTTGATGTCTTATTGTTGACAGTGATAACGGACCACCCTCAAAAAGCTTATTTGGGCTTGCCGCTGGTTATTCTATCAGATCACCCATCCTCCTCCTCCCTCAAGGGTTAAACCCATACAGAAGACCATTTCTACCCCCACACTGTAGGGCCCTGCCAGTTTCAATAAGTGGAGGGTACCCCCCCCCCCCAAACTCTTCTGTGCACTGATGGCTGTTACTAGGTCATATATCAGTGTAACCGTGGAGTCGACAGCCACAGCCAAACCATTAGCCGTTGATGAATGACCCGGCGGCGTCCTGGGATGGAGGAGAGCAGCCATTGCTCAGGTGCCATTCCCTCAGTTGCACACGCTACCACGGCTTCTGCAGTTACTAATTGAACATGCCTGATGTGAATTACTGCAGAGTGTTTTGCAGCGTTTAGGATCCCACCTGCTGGGAGTTTTCTCCTCTATAGTCCAGCATGGCTGTCTGGTATGTTTCTGTTGTTTGTAGCCCTGAGCAGTTTCACCACAGACTCCGTCATTCGTTATCTTCCATAGTGAAAGCTGGAGCATTGTTAGCACAAACAAAGTTCACTAATATGTCAACTGAATTGACTGAATTTAAATTGCGCTTTGACACCCTCCTCTCGACTCTGAATGGAGCAGATCCAACGTGTCACCTGATGACAACACGGGCTGAGTTGTGGCTTCTTTGTGTCATGTGTCATACGGACCTGTGCGTTGATCCCAAATGATGTAACAGAGCAATAAAGCAACTGGCTGCCACTGATAGCATCTTCTGGGAATCTCCTTATGGCTGGTGGCTAGTTTGTTGCAGCTTTGTTTTGGCACCATTATGAGCTTATTATCGGGGGTTTGGGGAGAGGGTGGGGGCATCCCCCCGTTAGCTAAATGACTGTAGTTTTTCTGATACCGATAACAGTATCGGAAATGTCTCGGACACTGCCGAAAATGCTGAATCGGTTATTGACAAGTATGTGAGTCTATGCACCGATCAAATACTGAGTAATTTATGAATAAATGTAAGTAGATTTATACCCAAATATAAGAGGAATTGAGTTCTTGTGAATAACCTAGCAGTAGCTGATAGCAAAATGTCGCCTATTTGGCATATTTTACACTGGTAAATCCCACCAGTGAAAAGGCAACATGTACACTATGCAAGGCTTTAGTTTCGTGGGGTGGCACTAGTGATGTCAGTCGTAACATCAGCAATTTTATAAAGCATTTGAAGACGGAACACATGTATTTGCTTCTGTTTTACAGATGGTTTAATTTGAGCCATGCCATAAAACAATGATAGAAATCAGTCTACATCCATGATATAGGACTAGCAGTATTCCGTCTTTTTTATTTTATTTTTGTTTTGTAACAGTGTAGTATAGGATTGGTACTTGGGATTGAATGAAATGCAAGTTCAGGTATCAGGGAGGAAAAATGCTCAACCCCCCTTTTCGTTCCCCCCCCCCCCCGTTAAGAATTAACAAATTGCCTCCTGCTTATTGTTGTTTTCTTGCTGTAAAAGCAATATTTGTATGTTTGTCACAGTCTCAGAACTGTGTCTGTATCTATTTTGATTGCTGTAGTATCTCAGAGTCAAAGTACAGCTGATTATTAAAGCTTGCTTCGTGTTCTGGTAAATTAAAGTTACCTTTGTTTTTATCTCCAGAAATCAGTTGTAAAGACAGCACAGAGGTGCAGATGAATGGCAACACCCCCTACGAGGAGATGGACCATGACCACGACTCGTCGGCGCAGCTCAACATGCGTGGGGTCTTCCTGCACGTGTTGGGTGACGCCCTTGGCTCTGTCATCGTGGTGGTCAATGCTGTAATATTCACCTTTGTGTGGCAGCCCTGCATAAAAGGCGAGGCATGTGTGAACCCATGTATCAACAGCCACACCACGGATCACCAGCATGTCAATCACACACTGATCGACCTGCTGGAAGGCCCCACTATGTCGGCCATGAAGAGTGCTGGCCCCTGCTGGGTCCTCTACCTGGATCCCACCCTCTGCATCATCATGGTCTGTATCCTGCTGTATACTACTTACCCGCTGCTCAAAGAGTCAGCGCTCATCCTGCTGCAGACTGTGCCCAAGCAGATCAACATGCACCGGCTCAATGAGCGGCTACTAAGTCTAGATGGCGTCCTGGCCATCCACGAGCTGCACATCTGGCAGCTGGCTGGCAGTCGCATCATCGCAACGGCGCACATCAAGTGCCACGACCCCACATCTTACATGGAGGTGGCCAAGCGCATCAAGGACTTCTTCCACGACGAGGGCATCCACGCCACCACCATCCAGCCTGAGTTTGTCACGTTCAGCTCAGAGTCTCGAGACTCCCTCTGCGAGCTCTCCTGTCGGACTCAGTGCGCTCCCAAGCTGTGCTGTGGCTCCGCGGACAAACAGAACGCTGATAAGAAGGCCGGCACTGACTGCAGGGCCGCTGCTGCCTCAGCCCTGGAGGTGATTAGTGAGACCCCAGAGCAGGCTGCAGGCGTTCAGGTGCTCCCTCGGTCAGAGGCTGCGGTTACCATCACTAGGGAGGTGGAGTCGTCTCTGTGAGATGGAGGGGATGGAGCGAAACCAAGGAGAAGCTGGAAAATCACCACATAAGGCTAAAATCATCATGGACGCTGTAATCGTTCTGACCCGTAGCTCTGTCTGGCTGAAACAACCACCCCAACCTCCCCCTCTGTGTTCATGCATTTGAGCCATTTCTTTTCATCTTCCCTCTCTCTGTATACCCATCCCACCCCCTCCCTCCCTTCCAGCCTCCCCTCTGCCACCCGTCCTCTCTCTTGTTGTCTGTTGCCCTGGCAGTATGGTGGCGATGCATGTTGGGGTTCACTGACCTTATCAGCGCGAGCGAGGCCTGCATGTGTGTCCCTCATTAGCACCGTGTTGTGATGTGTCATCTCGTCCCATGGTGTTTCTGTGCCAAAGCTTCTCAATGCAGGACTAAAGGGATCTGAGTGACGTCCTCTCCTCAAAAAAAAAAAAGGACACAAACACAACACATGCAAGTCAGAGCACACATCACTAGGTTATGTTGTTTAGCCTTGGACCTGTTGGCAAAGAGTCTACCTTTTTTTTTTTGTGTTATTTTGCGTAGGCTTTGAGCAGATCTATTTTCTTACCCTCTGGCCCCACATGGAAGAGTATTGTGTTGCATAATAATTTAATTATTTAAGTTATTAGAAATGATCTATTTCTCTCTGTAGATGCTGTTTGTAATATTTAGTTTGGATGATAGAAACATTTTTTGCAATTTTTCTGTCTTGAGTTTTTCGACAGACTATCTATGCTGTAGTCAGTTTTTTTCAAATGTGACGTTTTATAACGATTTTATTTCTCAAGACTTTTCTCTGGCCTTGACTTTTACTTGCAGTCATTAGTTGGATACAGAAGCCGTATCAACACCTCTCTCACCTTGCCTTTTAAACACAAACACCTGCTGTGGGGTATAGCACTAAGTATAGTAGACACAGTGTAACTGAACCTCTTGCATTGGCACAGTCACCTAATTAAATGTTCATTCATAAATTTGATGCCTTGCAAGCCAGAGAGTGGGGTCTGTCGTGAAGAACTGAGCACTGTACGCCGTTAATGAAACACTATCCTCTGTATGAATCTGTACTGGAAAGCTTTAAGATGATGGCTGTTTATTCTCATTGAAAATCCTCATGAATGTGTTCGGCACCGTGTCACAAACCATGCTGAGGGAGTTTTTTATATTTCAAGGATGTTCTACTATTTGCATGACCAAACTGAGACCTGGTGTTCGACATTCAGGAGCTTGACCAAGAGCTCAAGTTGCTGCTTACCAGTACCTGCTGGTATCCCCCAACATTACTCATAACTGTGTAGGAATGACTCATCATATAGCTTTTCTGTCCACCACCTCGGGCAGCTGAGCAGGCTGTGTTTGCTGAATTGAAGTCCATATGGTGGCCTTTTAAATTGACACATTTTTCCTTCATCACCACGGATATCGTTTAAAGGTGACCTATCGATGTGTTTTCAGATTTCCACTCCTGAGTAAATGTGTATGCAATATAGAAATATGTGCTGGGAAATGTATTTTGATGCGTTCCTTCATTTGTAATGTTCGGTCACTTTTATTCAGTGTCTTTTAAGACTTGAGCTCTCTGTGCAAAATTGAAAACAAAAGTGTTTTTTTAATTTTAGATATGACATGTCGACTGATGTGTTTTTGATATACTATATATCTTATATATCTACAGTACCTGTCCAGTGTGTCATTGTGAAATAAAAAACAATATATGGCTGTTTGGTACAGTTGATGAGCCCAAATTTGTCCTTTGCCTTATTCTTACTTTCTTTAACGTTCTTAGGCAAAATATGTGCTGTTTTTTTTTTTAAGATAGAATTTAAAGACACATCTGGGTATGTGTCTGTACACATCTGTATCCAGGGACCCATTGTGTCATAATCTGTCTATGGCTGTAGGATATTTGGAGTTACAATTAGCAGCTATTCACTGTTTAGCATTAATTCATCCCCCCAAAAATATGTGGCTATTAATTATGTACAATTTGTTATTTTCAAGCTTTTTAAAGCTGCCGTTTCATGTTCTAAAGACCTGAGGTCCTCTGAAGGGTCAGAGGGTAACTACTCCTTTATATACAGACGTGCTGGACCATGTAGTGTCTTGTATGATAGAAATTAAATTCTGAAATCAACCCCTAAAAGAGACAGGAAGCCAATGGCGAGAAACTGAAAGTGGGGCAACCTGCAATCTATTTCGTTTTTGAGTGATTCGAGGCACTAGTTTCTAACGGTGTCGATCCAAACTGTGATCTGAAGTTGACTTTTGTCTATTAAATCCACTTTAGCTGAAGAAGTGTGAAGGAAAGTGGAGATTTAGTTGTGAAAAAGCAGAGGGTGTGAGGAGGTCGTCGTAACTTATTTCACTTTCACTTCCTATGTTCCAGTTTCCTGTAAAAGTGCAACTGAAATTAAGATGCATGATTTTCTCTGTTGCAGCTTACGTACTGCTTTGTAAAACACGTCTAGTGAGCAAATATGGGAACTCACAGAATAAATAAACAGGCAGAGGTGAAAGAAGTTCAAGTAAAAGTAGTGATACTCCATTAGAAGTAGTCCTACACTAAAAACGTCACTCAAGGAAAAGCAGCTAAGTATTATCGGCAAAGTTTTGGCATAGTGTTGTATATATCACAGTATTTTTGTTGTAGTTGTGTACTTCTTTATTGTCACCTGACTAATCTACAAAATCCCTTGATCTTGTATTTGTGTCAATAAATGAGTTAAACCTAAAAATTATTTTGCAGTGAAGGAAAAAATATCAACCTGTCATTAATTTAACACTTTAAAACTTGAGCAAATTGGCTTGATTTCTTTTGAAAAGTTGAAGAAGGCAATGAGCAACGAAAGGAAATTAGGGGAAAATTAAATACGAAAATTAGTAAAAAAAAAAAAAAAAAAAAAGAAAGAATTAAAGTTAAAAACAAACTAACAAGGAAATAACCTGGAAAGAGTGCTTAAAAATTACAATAATTCTGAAACACATTTTAAAATATAATGATAATTATTACTATAAATATAGTTTTTTCCTAACTTAATCACAATTCTACTTATTTTTTTGCAGTTTGTGGGACATTTCTTACCAAGTTGCCCATGTTTTTGAAAGAAATCGCACCAATTTGGTCAAAGTTGTATTTTAAAAAATCAAGAAATTAGTTTCTATATCATGAAATAAGACAGTATAATGTACCGCTAGCCCCACTACAATTATGAAAAAGTTGAGTTTAAGAAATTATTTAAACAAGATATGTGCTGAAAATTGGTTAAAATATTCCTACTACATTAAGGGCTCAATTTCTGGCAAGTTTTTTTCTCTGAAGAATGCATCATATTTTAGAGGCAAAATAATCTGCTTAATACACAATGTACCTACAGATAAATGTAGTGGAGTTTAAAGTAAAAATATAGTGGAGTAGAAATGTAAAGTAACATAAAATGGACTTCAAATATTGACTTACCTACAGTACATAAGTAAATAGTTACTTTCCACCTCTGCGGGATTGTGGGAAGTTACCATGACAACCATAACAGTATTAATATGAGTTTTAAGGTATCTTTTTACTGTGTGTTGATAAGTGATAGCCTGCCTCCCAAACTTGCAGAGGGAGTTTAAATCTAATTGTCACTGAAACCACATGAACAAACAGCCAGTATGTAACGCCACACACATGTTGATGTGTAAGACCAGCCGGATGTTTGTGGCTCATGTCCTCTGTCTGACAACAAAACCTCAGCCTGTCTAAACAGTAATGATGGTTAGAGGTAAACCTGAAGTGTGAGTGAGTTGTGGAGTGTCGTGCTGCAATTACATAAGTCCATAATGACAGCGTTTCACAACTCTTCTCCGCGGTGTGAAGATGCAGATACTGGAAGCTGAATGTGTGGCTGAGGGATCAGTGTGGCTGCTGACTGTGTGGCCGATGGAGCGGCCGCCGTCGGCCTGACGGGACTTATGTAAGAGGCCCCGGGGGCATTCCAAAGGCAACAAGCACGGGGCTCTACCCAGCATTCCTCAGTGCTGCCGGGACGCTCTCTCCTCAGCCTCTGTCGCTTTTCATGTGGACAGAAAGAGGGTCAGGCGTGGGGCAGCGCTCTCTGTGTGCTCTTTGTTAAAGTCAGGTGTTCTTTGCACCTTTGCTGCAGCTCATTGTATGCAGGTGGTAAAGTGGGTCTGTGTGCATCCACTGCTGACCCAAGTGTGTACCACTCATTGATTATTGACCCTGGCTGCTTGAAATTAGAAATGCAAAAGCCCATAAAGTGTGATCATGCAGTTCCGTGTGTGGTTTGTTTGTCGAAGCCGTGTTCCCGTAGCTCTGCCTTGCCTTCAGTACTCAGGTTGAGCAGCTCATCAGACAGACAGGTAGAGAGAAGAGGTCATCAGCAGGTTGTTGTATTTGGTACTACTATGGCTACGGCAGCAGATTGAGATGAAGATTCCCCACCAGATCACCCATGACCATACCTCAAGTCCATGTTTAAAGTTTGTGAGATGAAGAATGATTCGTATTGTTTTGAATGTTTACCGCCCATGTGCTTCATCACGGCCTGCAAAAAAATGCCATCCAACCTGAGAAAGCGTGTCAAGGTGTGTAAACATCGGCTTAGTTCCAGATGAATACTTTAAACAAAGTTGTCTCTGCTTGTATTGTTGCAGTTTTTGTGCTATGTTTGGTCAAAGGACTGTTTATGGACTTGCCGGCAAAGTTGTCATGCAATGTTAGAAATGTTTCCACTCAATGTTTTCACTGTTGCCTTGAGATAAACACAGTACTTTGAAAACTTAGGGTTTTTTTAACAGCAAGTGCTCTAGTACTTAAACTCAAGTAATTATTTGACTCAGCAACTTTCACTTGTATTTGAGTAATATTTGACCAGGAGTATCTATAGCTTGACTCACGTAATAAAGTCGTGTACTTTGTGCATCACTGCCACTGATAACAGCAATGGCAACGGCCTCCAATGTGGAGAGGCCAGCACTGTCATTAAAATGGCTTCACAAAAGAATACAAAACAATCAGTCGTATGTCAACGTGTGATTCAACTTTTAGTGATAAAAAAGGCGATCAGTGTTGTGGCTCCGGAAGAGCTCAAGATGATTTGCTGGCTGTAGGTGGCTCTAGCAAGTCATTTAACAACTAAGTGGAACAGATTGGTACATGTCTGAAGTCAGTGTCACTGGGGCATGCCGCTGCCAGAGATAAAAAGATGTGGCAAATCAACTCCAACTGGCAGTGTCCCAAAATGTACAACACCGGGCATGAAAAGTCATGTGAGACAGAGTTTGGGCTATTCCAAGGTGTGTTCACAAGTTGGTTTATTTGTTGCTGACCTTTACAGCAATTCACAGAAAGCACAAAGCAGGAAGGCATTATTACACATACCAAATACTCACCAAAATGTGCCATTTTCAGCATTAAAGTTGTTAGCTTGGAGATTTTAATTGTCGTTTCCTGTGGTGAAGGGGATTTAGAAATTTAGAAAAGTGAGAATGCTGGCTGAAATTAGCACCCCAATCTACCCCTAACCCTATGACTTGCCCACCATACCTACACATCAGTTCACTCCTTGGACCGAAAGCATAAGTCCCACAAAACTGCTAGGTTAGCGGATGGCTAGCTATTAAGTATTAAGTTAAAATAGAGGCAGCTAAGGGGAGGGTAAGGGTAATGGGAAGACTACATCTTGTTACTCATGCTAATGCAAAGTTAGCAACTAAAGGCGGTTAAGGTGAGGATAAGGTTAATGTGAAGGCTACATCTTGTTACTTAAGTTAATTCTAAGTGAGCAATTAGCTACCATTAGCTATGAAGAATTATGTTAAATTAGAAGTGGTTAAGGTTAGGATAAAGGTAATGGAAAGGCTTATGTTGTTACTATGCTAATGCTAAGTTAGCGATTATGTAGCCTTGAAGTGTTACATTAAAAGACAGGTGGTTAAGGTTAGCATAAGGGTAATGGCAAGGCTACATCTTGTTACTCATGCTAATGCTAAGTTAGCGATTAGCTACCATTAGCTATGAAAAATTACATTAAAATAGAGGTGGTTAAGTTTACAATAAGAGTAATGTTAAGGCTACACCTCGTTACTAATGCTTATTCTAAGTTAGCGATTAGCTATGAAGAATTACATTAAAATAGAGGTAGTTAAGGTGAGGATAAGGGTAGTGGGGAGGGTCACATCTCATTACTTACAAAGTGAACCATGTCTTAAAGTATTATGAATTTTAAAGTGGATTATTGCGACATTTTGTCTCATATCACTACAGTGTAGCATTGTAGCAGGGTTCACATGACCACTACGTTGGTGGGTTTGTCTTGTACTAGTGGTGGACGCGGTTTGTAGGAGCTTATCATGTACGCCACAAATGGATTTTGTCTGCAGCTCTTCATGTCTCCCCCAGTGGCAGGCCTACAGCCACAGTCTACATCTGGTGAGTCAGACTAATGTGGCTTTGACTAATTCTTCGCTCTAAACAGTTGCCCGGCAACCAGCTGAGGTTCCAGTAAGTAGCTAGGCCTAATGGTTCCAGCCAAGAAACGGTCTGGCGCATAAACTGCTGTAAAATGTTTTTACACCTTCATAAACAAACAAGATTTAAGCTGTTAATTAGTCAGCGTTAGAGGTGCTGGTAGGATGATTCTGTTACCTGCAGACAGAGCCAGGTCAGCTGTTTCACCCTGTTTCATGTCTTTAAACTAAGCTAAGCTAAGCAAATTCCAAATTGATTTCAGACACAGTTTGT